TACCCTGGAAAACCCGTACGCGCGGTGGACAGTTGAGTCAAATGATCTTTGTCGCGACCCTTTCTCCATGGCACGTGGCACCGATGCCGCATGCATTCCTCTTTCAGTTTTAACTTTTCCTTTCCGTGTTTCCGTCGATCTTAATGACATGACGGCCGCGAAGCAGTATGAAGTTCTGCCTCTACTCTAATTGATGACGTGCTTGTGGACCATCCTCGATTTTATGGTATGTTCAATCTTTGGGCTCAATTTGACGCCTTGGTTGGTCAAGTCAAGGAGCCTGCGACAGAGCGACAGATTTTGCATCGCATGATCCAGAGATCAGAAATTGAGTTATTGAAGTTTAAAGATATATTTTACTGATAATTATTTGGGACAAACCTTGGTTATTATAAAGACGGTTTATTTCATTTTAATAATTTTGGCAACTTCTCAGTTTTTACCAGCACAGAAACGAATGCAAGGGGCTGTTTGTGAATAAGAGAGTGTGTACTTCTCATGAAGTAATTCTGAAGTACGGACTTCTTCTGACTGGAAGAGGTGAAGAATTAAAAATATTTCACTCATTTTTCGTGATCACGTGAAGCTTTAAATTGTTTTATTTCTGCATTATTTGCTCCCGGTTTTTATTCAGTGTGGAAGGCACCTTGTAAAGGGGTCTCTCCTTAAAAACTCGGGAGATCAAGTATGTTAAAGCCACCCTAAATACCACAAAAGTATGCCTCCCGTTACTTTTACATAATTCCTTACTCTCTCTTAAAACATTGTAAAAAATACTGTGAGGGAGTGAAAGGGGCGCGGTGCACGACTCATTTTATTACATTACATCACGTGGAAGTATAGTGACTCTCTTTCACCTGTTGTGTAAAATCTCAAGGTATTACCCGCTGAATAGATGACTGATGATAAGTAATTTTCGGGAAGATGGTGTCATGGGAATAAATGATTATTAGCGGTGTCTGAGGAGTATCTCACAAGCAATTTTTGTATTTTTCGTTTCCGCAAAATATGTTTCTTGTGGACTTGCCATAGTCTGTTATATGAATTGAAGGTTTGTTTTGGCTGTCGATTAATATGCAGATCGATGGTGTAATTCGGCAGTCACATATCTCGTTTGCGGTGTCTGAAAATCTTCGCCTCTATGTTATTTCCTTAAAGAAGAACAAATTTACATCATTCCTTGAAGTTTTTGTAGAATTTTCTTCACACAAAGAAGAAAAATCACGGCAGTTTTAAAGAATTGCTGTTGAGTAGTTTTCTGTTTAAAAAGTAAAGTATGACAGGACGTCTGCGACGTCGCAAACTGAGTTATGTGATTGCCGACTTACACTGTCGAGATATTTTTTGGCTTTTGTTTGGCTGTTAATTTTTGCTTAAAAATCTCTGGCTGATTCCTCAAAAAAATACTGCAGTATTTTGTATGTATATGAGAAGTATGCGAAATTGACAGGCAAGACTGCAACAAATTCTAAAAATTTTGAAGAGCCCAGCTTCTGGCGGCGGGCAAAGTGGGCCAAAACCCCTATGCGCCCAACTTGATTCGCGAAGAAAGCAACTTTTCACTTTGATGCTTGCAGTGAGTGATGATCATTAATGCCTAAGGACAGGAGTATGTAAGTTTCGGTACACGTTTTTGTAGGCCCTTACACTATAACAGAGGGTAAATTCACAGATTATTGAGAAGCCCAGTTTATGGGTTTGTAATTGGGTCGAAAGCGGCATGTGCCCACCTTGATGAGGGAAGTACCTGAAGGCAGTATTCAGTAATTCCAAAAATTTTATTAGAAAATCTCGTTTATTTTCATTTTTCAGTGTGCTGAAAAATGTTCATAGGCATGGCAGCATTTTAACATCGTCTAAAATTTTGCAGAATGCTAAGGTGGCCAACTGCTGAAGTATAACAAAACTCAAATCGATACGGAATGGATCCCTCGGCGTGACCCCTGCTTTGTATTCCAATGTATCAGCCTGAGCTGAATATTCGCCCTCTCAATCGTACACTGATACTCATTAAAGGTTCTCGTTAATGAAAATTTTGTGGAATATCCGACTTTGATTTCCATGCAGAATAGTATGGGCCCAGTGCTAATCTACAATGCACTGTACATTCCCCATACTAACAGTTCGGGGCACTTTTTTAAGTGCTTTCTTTTCCGTTTGAAAAAACCCAATGACGTTGCAGAACGAGGTATTAAGGTCATTGAAAATCAAAAGTGAATTTTAAGTGAAGGTTATGAGTATTTTCAATACAACCTGTTAAAGATTATGGAGAGAAGTTCCCCCAATACAAAAGTCAACGTTGCTCTTGATTCTCGAAGAAAAAGGGATTTTCAAAAATCTTGAAGATATTTTGTGGCTTCCGTGTGCGTAAATGTACGAGAAAAAATTCTAACAAATTCCCTCTCTTTAGGTGATGTTTAGCATTACTGAAAGTAGGCACCCGAATGGCGGAAAATCATGAATTCCACCCAGCTTGTTGGGCGTATTTCGTTGTGAGCCCAATTGAGAGATTATACACTAGGCTTGTTAAAAATCTGATAAATTTTTCAAAAATTTGAGAATTTTTGGTCGCCCTCCCGTAAGATAAATTAAAAAAAGTTTTGCCCGAACTCGCAATTGTGTCCGTCTAATCAGCGTCATAGGCACAACAGGCGATAGCAAATCGTAAAGAAAACATAATTTGCGGAATTGTAATGTGCAAACATCTCCCGTGAAAAAAACCTCTGAGGCTCTCAAAAATGATGTTAAAACCATTCTTTTTCTGTAAAGTCCTCCAGAAAAGGCATCAATTCAAGGGGCAAAATCTTGAAAATTTGAGTAAGTGGAAGATATTGCCGCTCCTCGGGCGGAAGGGCGTAACTCAATTTCCTCGTGAGCTACGCTTCACATATAAGTGTATGTTTTCTGGGGCTCATATGGAAACCGAGTTACACCCTAACTTCAAAGGAGCGACGCTGTAAGCAACCCAAAAGTTGGTCAATACAACAATAGTGAGACATTGTAAATGGAGGTCATTGCCCCTAGAGGACTTATGACTTATCAATTGTCACTAGCCCAATATCAAAAAACTGCAACGGCAACGGTCAGGCCAGAGATTACGATCAAAAATACATAAGAATCGACACCCGACACGACGTATTTGCAAGCTTTAAATTGTTTTACCCCAAAACCGTCATTTTGGCCGCCATCTTGAATTGGGGGGGGGGTTGTATGAAATTTGAGATGGCCATCATCGATTTTCTTTTTCTAGACATCAAAACGAAGAGATTGATGTATCACACAATATGCCTTCACAAACCTGCACACGGGAATAAGTATGCCCCCTGACTAATTTTCAAAAACAGACAGTACCCAATTAGACAAAAAATATTTTTAAGAAATTTTTAAAATATTAAATTAATATTTTCACGAAATATTTTGAGAAACGTTTAAAAATATTTTTAAAATATGTGAATGTTATCATCAACTTATTCTTAAAATATTTCTTGAATATTTTCAAAGTATTTCTTGAATATTTTAAAAATAATTTTAAAATATTTCTATAACACTTCTAAAGAGTTACGAAAATATTTTGAAAATATTTTACCAGAATGTTAACCTATTAGTACCATGCGCCCTCTGTCAACGATTAACGGCACTATTATTTGCTTATGTATACACGTCTGTATACTCAGCGCACTCTGTTAAGTAGATGTGGAAGTACAGGCAATGACCGTCATTTTCATAGTTCTGCACATGTATTACATTTGAAACATGAATTACACAAGTATACAAGCATTTAATATTTTAAACCATTTACATGAAGTCCTGCGACGTTTAGTAGCTTAAAATACCCGAACGCCCTCGGGTGGACTTGAACCCGAGCCGCGGGTGTGCTAGCCCAGCACTCTGCCACTGAGCCATACGTAGCTGATGCTGATCAGGGTTAAAATCACGCTTGTTAAGGCTGTTATAGCATGCATTGCGTTAGTGCGCGGCTCGATGGCGTGTTTTCTTAGGCCTCTTTTTTTTCCTATCATTATTTTTTTTTTTTTCGTGTTATTTTTTTCCTATTATTTTTTTTTGCCATATCACGTAAGAGGTACTTACACTAAATTTACACTGGGGTAAATTTTACCACATACTAACTTGAAATAAGAACTTAAAAATAATTTGAAAATATTTACTATATTTTTAACATATTTTTAAAAAATATTTCTTTTTCATATTTTTAATATATTTGAAAAATGTTATAAAACATAACTTTTGAAATATTTACTTTTTATATTTTAAAAATATTCATAAAATATTTATTAATTATATTTCAAAAGTATTTTTAAAAATATTTTTGAAATATGTTTAAAACATTTTTAAAATATATTAAAAATATGAAAAATAAATATTTTTAAAATATTGCTATCTTACTGGGTATTATACATTAAATCCTAGTTAATCCGTTGTTTCGTTCAAAATTTATGCCGTTCGGTGTGTTTGACCTTTGACCCCTCTTTTCTGGCCTTTCGAGGGCTAGACGAAAAAAGTGACCGGATATAGGCCTCTCCGATGATCCGTCATGATTCCTGAAAGTATGGATGTAAAATCCCTTGCGGCCATTTCCTATGAAAAATGGGACAGTCTCTTTCCTCCGATAAATACTTGCTCTTACTTTTTCTAAAGACAGGCCCCAATCTTTTTTGTCTCTCAACTTCTGAGTTCATCAAGTCAAACCCAAGTTTGGCGATGTGCATGATATTTTCTTCTTCTTCTATTTCATTTATTTTTTATTTTTTTTTTTGGTAAAAACTAGTTCTAACCAGCTGGCCACTTACTCAACCCTAGTTCGACTAAAGAGCCCTAGCCAAACCCAGATTTTACTGAAAAGTGGAGACCATAACATTCGCATCAGTAATTTCATTCAAAGAAGTACTTATGCATAATTGCCACCACAGGTGTATGACGTAAACATGATAAACTATCTTCATGACTGTCATTTTATCTTTGTTCATTTTAAAAATGTCCAGGCGCAGAAAGGCAGATGAAGCTCCACCCTTCCCGACCTTCTTTCCTCACAAGCTGGAGGAAGCACTCCCAGATGATTTGTACATTGATGATATGCATCAATTTAATGAGCCAACTATTCAGTATGAGCCTGAGAAAGTTGAAAAGAAAAAGAAATAATGTAGAAATGTTTCAGTCCTGAGCATCTCAGCCAATTAAAAACATTTTGTTTTAAGTCTTGTATATTTTTAACCATTAAAAAAAGATTATTGTTAAGAAAATGTAATTTTTTTCCCCTTAATTTTTTCCCTGTGATCTTGTGAAGATAAAAATCTGCACACAAATATAAAACTCTAACTGGTTTCTGCTGACTACATCAAAAATTGTCCGGACATCTTATCCTGATTCCTCCTGAGGATCTCTTTTACAGAAGAGAGAGTGAAGGCGAAGGAAACCGAAGGTCCCCTAGAGATCTAAGTTGACATCTTTGACATCAGGTCAAAAATTTCTGATTAACGGCCAAGGTCCCTGGCGCAGAAGGTTGATGATCCCAGAGAATGGCTCTGCCAAGATCATGCTCTCCACTATTTCATGATGTAGTTTCTCACCGGTCACGGAAGTTATGCGAAGTATCTACACAAGTTAAAGAATATCGCAATGCCCCAAAGTAGTTTCTACACTGTGGAAACGGACACTGGAAACACTGGTACACTGGAATGACCAATTTTTATGCATCGAAAAATAAGTTTGAACTTTCTTTTGACAAAAACTCTGACCAAATGCTTTGGAAATTTCGGTTCTTCTTTTAAAATCTAATTTTTTTTAATCACATTTTTCCTCGTGTCTAGATATACCTCCTGATACCGATTTTTGTGCAATTCGATCGACAAATTGCTGGTGTCATTTTTCGGTCATTTCGACTTTCAACTGCCCGCCATTTTGAAATAGCTTGAAATATTGACTTAGCGTTTGTGCGAAAGGTTTTCTCTTTTCATGCTCCTTTAAACGGGGTATCACAAGGGGGGTCTTTCTGTTTGAAAGGAAAAACAGTTGGGGTCAGTTCCCCTCCCCTCCCCTCTCCCAAAGATGGCTTGAGTGTGTTATGTTGGTTGGAAACTGATGAAAGGAAGTACGACACGAGTTAGGAGGATGCCATGACAGAAGTGTATTGAGGGGGCCGCTACCACAGAGCATTTGGAATGTTCGGAGTGCCTAAACCTCTACCTCGCCCTCTTGATGGTTTACTTGTGATGGGCGTACTTAATGTTGGTTCAGGTCTGATACTAGCTTTAGGCGTTTCATATTCTGAATCTGAATTGATAGTCTGTGGACTGACATTTGAAATGATTTGTTCTTTCTTATGTGGCACTAAAGGAAATCTAATTTTTGCTTCTGATTCTATTGTATTTGAATTACTTGGTGACAAACTTTGTACAGTTTTTTGTTGATTATTGAAATTAAAAGAGACATTCTTAGGACGTGTTTTAATATGGAAACGCGTACGTCTGTATGTGTTGTTGTTCGGAGCTTGGAGCATATATGATTGGGGTTCCTTACATTTACGGATGACAATAGCAGGGGACCAAGTATCTGAAGGTGTTTTTTTGAAGTAAACTTTATCGTTGACGGATAAGTCGCTTAAAGGTTTTGCACTTGCAGTGCGCTTAATCATAGTTTGTTTTCTTTTTTCTAGGGTATGCCTGTATTTGTTGCTATCAATTAAAGTAGGTTTAAGATGTTGAGCTGTTGTTGGTAATTTTGTACGTAAATTTCGTGACATTAGCAAATTGGCAGGAGAGGGTCCATCTGCTTTGGGTGTGTTACGAAAATGGAGCAATGCTAAATGGAAATCCTCACCACTCTCAATACATTTGTACAACAGCTTTTTGACAGATTGAATTGTTCTCTCCACCATTCCGTTAGAGCGAGGATGATTTGGTGAAGATGTGAGATGATTGATATTCCATGACGATGTGAATTTTTTGAACTGTTCGGCATTGAACGGAGGGCCATTGTCACTAATTAAAGTATGAGGAATGCCATGTCGTGCAAAAATGGACTTAAAAGCTTCAATTACATATTTGGCTGAGGTGGCAGTATTTAAAGATATGACTTCAGGATATTTTGAGAAATAATCGACAGCAACTTATTACTTCTTACCCTTACAATCACATAAATCGGCACCAATTGTTTGCCATGGGATTAAAAGTATCTCATGCGGCGTTATTGAAGGTTAGGGGTGTTCAAACGAATTCTTGCCGGAACTCTTTCGATATCGTCTCTCATTGAAACTGGCGGCAGTACAGACAGTGGCGATGATATCGACAACAGCCGGCCTTATCGGATTTTTGAGAGCTCGCACTCAACGCATTGTTGCCCCTTGTGTCGGTTTATCAGATTGCCTGGCGCGGCGGCGCATGAAATAGATGTACACATGGCAACAGTTTATTTTCGCCAGCTCCGAAAACTCTGATCGCTATCGGTAAGAGCGCTCTTATCGTAACTTTTTCTTAACGGAACAGTTTCGGTGGCTTACTGACAACCGATAGAACAGCCCTATTGGAGGTTTCCTATTATTGTTTGAGAGTTTAATGCATATGTTACATTGATCAACTAGATTTTGTAGATCAGCTTTTAAAAAGGGCCAGTACACCACATTTTTGGCTCCTAAATATGATGATACGAAACCTTGATGACCTTAATGGATAAGTTGCAGAATCTCCTTTTGCAATGTTTTTGGTACAATTAAGCTATCTAATTTAAGCACCATATCATTATAGACAGTTATTTCGTGACGTACATTAAAGAATGGTTTAGCTAGATCATGGACCTGTTTCTTATTAGAGGGCCACCCATGGTAAAAGTATTGTTTTAAAATTGTAAGTGTTTCATCTTTGGAAGTTTCTATTTTAAAAGTTTCAAGTTTTTCATTAGATATGTAAGAGTCTAATGTTAAATCTAGGAGGGCAATTTGGTATTCCATTTCATCTTGTACTTCTGACATAAAGGAACTATTATCTTTGATTGCCGCTCGACTCAAAGCATCGGCAACTACCAACTTTTTGCCAGGTACCCATTTGACACGAATGTCGTACCTTTCTAGCTTTAACATCACTCTTTGCAATCTGATTGGAACATTCTTATATTCTTTTTTGAAAAGCGTTTGTAGTGGTTTATGGTTGGTTTGTACATTAAGTATTTGGCCAAACATGTATTGGTGAAATTTCTTACAACCGAAATGAATTTCTAACAATTCTTTCTCAATTCGTCCCCAAAATTGTTCAGTTTTGGTGTAGGGGTGTTCAAACGAATTCTTGCCGGAACTCTTTCAATCGTCTCTCATTGAAACTGGCGGCAGCACCGACAGTGGCGATGATATTGACAACAGCCGGCCTTATCGGATTTTTGAGAGCTCGCACTCAACGCATTGTTGCCCCTTGTGTCGGTTTATCAGATTGCCTAGCGCGGCGGCGCATGAAATAGATGTACACATGGCAACAGTTTATTTTCGCCAGCTCCGAAAACTCTGATCGCTATCGGCAAGAGCGCTCTTATCGTAACTTTTTCTTAACGGAACAGTTTCGGTAGCTTACCGAACAGCCCTATTTTGGTGAGGGTTGTTGATGCGAAAGCTATAGGTTTGTATTCCTGTAAAATCACTGCTCCCAGTGCATCCTTGGACGCGTCAACTGATAATAACACAGGTTTATTTATATCAAAATGTTAGAACAGGAGCATTCGTTATTGTCTCCTTTAGTTGAATAAATTCATTGTTGTGAGTTTCTGACCATCCCCATAAAGTTTCTTTTTTGAGTAATTTCCTTAAATTATGTGTTTTCTCTGATAAATTTGGTATGAAGGAACGCAAGAAATTAACAACCCCTGAAAATCTTTGTAATTCTGTTATGTTGGTAGGAGGAGGCATTTTCTGTATGGCTTCGACTCTACTTGGGTCTATGGGAACTTTGTTTTCAGCATAAATTTCACCTAGAAATTCTATTTCGATTTTAAAAAATTTACATTTTGGCAGGTTAAATTTGACTCCTATTTCATCAGCTCTTTGTAATACTTTTCTTAAAGTTTCATCATGTTCCTGAGGGGTATTGGCATGTATTAAAAAATCATCAACATATATTATTAAATTATCTATATTTCTAAATTTGTCTACCATTGTAGCTTGAAAAATATCGGAAGAAGCATTTATGCCAAAGGGCAGACGTAAAAATCTAAAACGACCAAAAGGAGTATCAAAGGTTGTTAAATTGGCGCTTTCTTCATTTAATTGTTAATTCCAAAAACCACTGGTGATATCAAGTTTTGTAAAGTATTTAGAATTTTTCAATTGAGAACGAATAAAATCAGTATCTGGTAAACAATGTTGAGGACGTTTGATTGCCTTGTTTAAATTTCTAGGGTCTAGGCATAGGTGAAATTGCTTATTCTTTTTGATGGCGACAACCATTGAATTACACCAGGGGGTGTGATGTCTTACTCTATCTATAATTTTACGTTCAATTAACTCGCTAAGGTGTTTCTTTAACTCAGATCTTATTTTTAACGGCACTCTCCTCGGTGGATCATTCATTGGCTTAACATTTGGATCAGTCTCAAGATGAATCTTGGTGTCTTCGACACACCCTATGCCATTAAAAGAGGATTTGTGCTTTTTAACTAGTTTCTGCCAATCGCTAGATTTACTTTCAACACAATGTACCATGTTGATGAGACCCATTTGATCTGATAATTCAAGGCCAATCAAAGTCGGACATGAAAAATTGACAACATGAAATTTGGATTTAAAACATTTTTTCTTAAAATTAAAGTGTAAAATAGACCCACCCATAACCTCTAACTTCTCCTTAGTTAAGGTGTTTAGGTGATCTTTGGTTGGTTGTATGTCGTTAGAATTTAAATTTAATTTACAAAAATTATGGTAAGAGATCAAATTTGTTTCTGCTCCTGTGTCGATTCGAGCTTTCACAGGGATGCCATTAACATAGATATTTGTGAACCATTTATTGTAACGAGCCTTTGGTTTATTAACCATGCCGATAAATAGATCATTATCACTTTCATCACAATCACTATTTATTTGGACATTTTTGATAGATTTTGATTTACACAAACGTGAAAAATGTCCGACTAAATCACAATTATGACATCGCACTTCTTGTGCAGGACACTTAAAACGATGGAATTGATTTCCACAGTTTTCACACACGGTTATGGTCTTTGTCGGACGACGAGGATCAGGACTACGGTATCTTGTGTTTCCATGGTA